CTCTCTCTCTCTCTCTCTCAGTCCGGTACTAACCTGTGAAGGTGGCGCCTTGTTGCAGGTACATTGAAGACGAAGCTGGAGCTATGGCGCCACAGGTAAGTCTCCCTGGCCTCCGCCCTTCTCTCTCTCTCCCAACGCTACTCTACCTCCTAGCAGAGCGCAGCGCTGAAGACTACTCTAGTGCTAGCTACTACTACTGCAGCGCTCCTGCAGAGTGCTGCGGCCAACTCCTGAAGACTGCCTCCTGAACGCACGTGAAGTGCCCGTGAACTGCTTGGGAAGTCCCTATGAACTACCTGCAGCCTGCAGGGCGGGCCAATTGTTATGATTCTGGTTGTTTGTTGTGTGAGACCAACACTCACACACATAGACTGCCAGGTATGCCCATACATACACAGAAGGAAGGGGAGAGGATAGGAGTATCACACCGCACAGGGATAGATAAACACAGCGGAAGACTTGACCATGCGATATGACAGGGTACACTGAAAGTGCAATTCACTCCACTCAATCCTCACAACCAGTCATAAAGAAAAGCCGAGTAGATCACATCCAGGAAACAATGAAACGATGATAGTCCAAACCTAGTATTACACTGTTTATTAAACTCAGAGTCTCGAATTGTCAGGATAACCTCAGTACTACAGTGCGCTGCTCAGAAATGAGCAGCGCTTCACTCCCCAACCCCGAGTAACCACCCGTGACACCCCTGAGCCCCTGAAACATCAAGCGCCACCCAAATACAGCCTCCAAAGGGAAGCGCCACCCTGAAACAGGCCTCTGAGGCCAAGCGCCACTTAGAGGATGAAGAAGAAGACCAGTGCCACAGTATCTGATGATGACGAAGTGTCGGAAGACTTCCCGGATGGGAGTCTGCAGCAGCGCCACCAACTCCTGACAAGATGACCTCCGAGGAAGAAGCTGCAGCTATGGCTGCAGCGCCACAACCTTGGAACCCCACTACGGAGGAAGGTCCTGCAGGGCACCAACTTCTCTCGCCTCCAACAGACCTCGATAACCCAATCCTCTGACAGCCCCTACGTGCTGGCAGAGTACAGCACAAGTCCCAGCTATGGCTGACGCTCCGAAGGTTTGGCTATGCCTGTCTCCTTCCTCGCTGAGCCGTCACCACTTCTGGTTCACGCGTAGCGCAGCCGCGATGTACGCGGTACCAACTGCCAAAAGCCCCTATCTATAGTCTACTCTAGCCTTGACTCGACCTAGACCAGACTGGCTGACCGACCGGTACCGATTCAGTTTCGGCCTCCTGGCCTCTACCTTACCCGGCTATAGGCTATAGGACCATCTATCAGCATAGGCCTGTAGGGCCTGTCTGTCCTAGGGGTAGCCCGGGCTTGCTATTCGCAGTTAGGCTAGCTGTAGGAAATTCAATTAGTACGGGCCTGTATTTTCCCGCGTTTACAGATATGTCCCTCACGAATTTTCCTTGCAGGCAGGTCACACGGTTAGCCCTCAGCCAAACAAAAATTACGAATTTAACCTACCTATAGTACAACCTCGACAGAGAGAGGGTATAGGCGACCAGAAAACAGCAAGTCATTGCAGACCTACCGTCCCCTGGAGCGAGGACCTCCGAGCTAGGGGCGTAGGCATGCAGAGCACCGAAGGGATTCTCCCTTATTTGCTGCCTCATATCTGAGAATGACTCTTCAAAAGTTCCTTGCGAGTAAACCAGTGGTCTTCTGTATGTGGCTGGTATAAGAACTTCACAAGGTACTCCTTATCTGGTCCTGTACCTGACTCATCCTCAACGGATTCCACCTCGTATCCTTTGCCAGGGATAGGGGGACCGAACTGAGGAGGCTTGTCTGGGAATGCATCAACTGAGGGGAATGGTAACAACTTAGATGCATGAAAGACAGGGTAGGTTTGTAGATGCAGAGGGACATCCACGGTATAGGATGGTCCAAATGGATCAGCTCCCACCGTATCTAAGACTTGCCATGGACCCATGTATCGCGGCAGCAGCTTAGGCGAAATATCCTCCTCTCGCGACAACTGAGAACTGAGTACCCACACCCAGTCACTTGTGCGAATAGTAGAAGGGTGTATGTGTCTGTTAGCCTGTTGAATCATAGCCTTTTGGGCTTTCAGCAGGTTGGCACGGGCGCGCTCTATGTCCACACGGTAACGCCTGGTGAACTCTGCAGTTCCAAGTGTCAGCGTACGGGTAGCCTTATCGATGATGTCATCGAGAGGCTGCCGTGGCTCACGACCCCAATGTAACCGTTAGGGTGTAAAGCCAGTAGAGGAGTGTAGAGAAGTATTGTATACTAGTTGTGCACGACCCAAATGGAGATCCCAGTCCTGCTGATCTGGACTGATCACGGGACGCAGCAACTGAAATAAAATTGGGTTCATCACTTCAGCTTGTCCATTGGCTTCAGGATGACGACCAGATGTCATATCCAGTCTGGAGTGAAGGTAATCCCTGCAGTAGGATTGCCATTCATTTCTGCAAAAACGAGGATCTCGGTCACTGACTATAGAGGTGGGTGGTCCATGATGTGTGACCCACCTGTCAGCAAATGCCGCCGGAACGGCTGGAACACAAGCCTCAACTGGTAAGGGGATGAACTCTGCATATTTGGAGAACCGATCCACACACACCATAACCTGACGCATACCACGAGGTGTGGTCCTACCCAAGTCAGTAAAGTCAATAGACACTAACTGTGCAGGTGTCTCAGTGATGGGTAGCACTGCCTTGTTCCTTTGGCATAACTCACAGGTTTCCACATAGTGTAGCATGTGACTCCTCATCTCCTTCTAGAAGAAGCGCTGCGATAGGGCTGCATACGATTTGAGGGCTCCAAAATGACCACGAGCATCATGACACCATACATCAAGAGTGTTCTCAGCTTGCGGTCCTGGGGAATGCACAGGAGTTCCTCACCTCTGCTGCAAGTATATAGCAGGTCTGAAACCAGAGTATATCCTGGTTCAGATGCAGGATCGTCTTGGAGATTCCTGACTATAGGCCCAAAAATCACATCCTTGGGCAGCAACCGGGCAATGGTCTGACGAGTCTTCTCTCCAAAGGAGTGAGTGAAAGAGATCAGAAAAAAAGTGTCAGGCCTACGAGAAAGGGCGTCTGCTACTCGATTATAGCAGCCCTTCTTGTGCTTCAGTTCAAAGTCAAACATGTCAATGAACGGAATGTAGTGGGCAAGCTTGTCATTCAACTCTCCCTGGGACTTCATCTACTGAAGGGTGGAGTGATCTGAAAAGATCTTGAAGTGCCTGCCCAGGAGAAAGTGTTTCCAATGCTTGAGCGTAGACACAAGTGCATAAAGCTCTTTCTCATAGGTAGAGTCCTGCAACTTCTTTGTTTTGATCTTCCTGAATACTTGATAGGCTGCAGACCATTCCCATCATCCTGTTGAAGTACCACCCCTACACCATACTGACTAGCATCAGTGGTAAGTCCAGTAGGCTCCTCCATAAGGTCTGAGAAGCGATCAACAACCCGCTGAATTTGAGAGGGACAGGGAGCAGTTTCCACATCAGTCTGTTTGACATAAGCCACAAACAGAAGGGCGCGGTCAGTCTGGCGAGAGAAACGCAGAAATCTGCGAGCACTCATGCAGTAACAACTGCTGGCCGGATGGTACTCATCAGCGAGCATGCAAGGGCGATAAACCCCATGCCGGTCAGGTAGCTCAACCCTAGGGATCTGCCAGTCGATCCTAGGATTGGTGTCACCAAGCCACTGCATAGAGAAGACAAGGTTAAAGGGAACGTTAGGGAACACGTAGAAATTCAGGCGGTGCCTGATTTCTCCCTGCTTGTCAAAGGACACAGGTAGGCCCTTGACAACAGTCGTGATCCTAACTGTGGAAGAGTCCCCAATGCGAACCTCTATAGGTTGTCGCAATTTCACCAATCTCTGATCCAAGTGCAGCTTGCTGACTGCCTTGGGAGGTATGAAGTTGCGAGTAGCCCCACAGTCTAAGAGCCCTTTGATCTTCGCTCCCAGGATAGAGGGTCGAAGGAGGATAAGTTCTGACATATGCTTTCTCTTCTCCTGCAAGGACAGGAAAAGATCAGCAAGGCATTGAGCATCCTCCTCCTCCCAAGTCTCATCCAGCTCAGAGTCCTCAAAGGCGAAGGACCCAGAAGATGCAACTCCAGAAGAAGAACCAGCGAGAGAATGTGAAGATTCACCTTCGTCAGAAAGTGAATCAGCACTGGTGGAAGGAGCTGCTGCTTCCACCTCTCTCTGCTCTAGTTTTTTGAACTAGAGCTGCCTGTGGACGTGCGAGGCATGCTGGGACGGTCTTTTAAGAAGTGGTCCCCCTCGCACCTCAGGCAGACACCCTTGTCCTTTCTCTTCGTCCAGACCCCCTCCAGCAGGCCAGGGGAAGGCGGAAGGATCATGGAGGTCAGCTGGCCAACAAACGTCTCGTGGTAGAGGTACTGTCTGGGCACTAGGGGAAGAGGCACGTCCCTTACCTTTCCCCTTGTTGCTGGTTGGTGCTTTTTGGGTTGGGGCTTTACCCCTTGCCATGCCCATCAAAGCATCAGCCAGGGCAAGAACAGCAGGATCTGCAGCAGATGAGGAAGCAGTCCCAGATGGAGGGGTCCCACCCTGGGATGCTGCATCACTATCTGAACTAGAAGGTGCAGCAGCAAACAGGGCACCCTTCCTCCTTGTTCGCCCCTTTGAGGAGGGTCCCTTCCTTCCTTCAGAAGGTGCTTCTTGGACATGGAGTTTGGAGTTTGGACTCCAAGTCCAGGGTTGCTCTGCCAAAGGACCGCCAGTCCTTGTGGCCCTGAGAGAATAAGGCAAGCTGGAATTGCTCAGGCGCTGCCCTGAGGAAATGAATGAGCAGATCCTGCTCACTCATCTCCAACCCAGGAGTCGATGTCAGACTCTCAAAGGTGGAGTACAATTTGGACAAGGAGCCATCAAACGTTTTCTGGCCCAGGCGCATGATTTTGTCTGCTGCTTTTCTGGCCTGCTCCTTGTCTGCAAACCGGTCCTACAGAGGTAGTGGAGAGAGGCGGAGGCCTTACCTGCGAGCGACGAACTTACCTGGCGCCATAGCTGGGACTCTGCGCGGTACCTGCACACGACGACGACCACAGTCAGTACGGTGACAGCTACCTGCAGGTGAGATAGCAAGGAGGACGTCATCTTCTTCTTCTTCCTCCTCCATCTCTCTCTCCCCTTTCTCCTTTCTCCTTCTTCTTCCTCTTTCTTACCTTCTTCTTCATCTATGAGAGTGAGAGAGATCATCGGTAGGGAATACAGGCAGAGGTTACGTTGGGCACATTGCCCAGGATCTGATTCGACATTCTGGGACAGACATTGATTGGACANCATTGCCCAGGATCTGATTCGACATTCTGGGACAGACATTGATTGGACACTCGGCAAGGGACTATTTTTGGGACTTCGCTATTGCGATCTTGGTCTACTSCCTCGCCTCCTTCTCCTTCGTCTTGCCCCTTTCCCCCATCTCTCATCCGTGGTATCTCCCCATGTATGTGTACGAAGGAGGGACCTTTCTTCCGTGATTGTGGTCCCTCCTCCCTCCTCACATGTGTGATGTATGATGGATGTCAGGTCAGTCCAGATCAGATCAGATCAGACCAGATCTTCTCTTTTAAGTCTTCCACTGCGCCACTTTGTGCCATCTTGTATGTATTCGGAATGTACATTGCTTGTTGATGGTATGCTGACCTTGCATTGTCCATTTCAGTCCTTTTCATCACATTGCGGATCCTTGGCTCCCTACGCATTGTCCCATTGGGCATGCGTCAGTTTGGTATCGGAGCCTCGCTTGTGAATCAGGACAACCTCATCTGACACAAGCGCGGGGACAATCGAAGATCGATTGATTGATTGATTGATTGATTAATCGTTGATTGATTGATTGATTGATTGATTGATTGATTGATTACGACACTAATTAGTCCCCAAAATCACAGATTTTCGACCTAACTGCAGAAATCAATTTTTTTTTTTCTTTTTTTGGATTTCATTTTCCCGCTGTTTTCATTCATGGAAAATCGCAATAGCGTAGCATCTGAAAGTTTCGTTTTTCTTGTCTTTTATGAAATTCGAAATTCCGGTGCTGGAGGTCCAAAAATATTACAATTTTTTTTTCGATTCATCTTTTCCTTGCATATTCCCGTTAATTCGAATTCTGAAAATTTTCTGAAATTCATTATTTCGAACTTATTTTCGAATTTTTTTTTGTGTTTCTCCGGGGGTAACGGAAATTTTGAAAGTTGACCGTTATTCCAAACTCGGAAATTCTATTTTTACGGGAAAATTACTCTGCAGTCATTCGTTTTCAAAACTGCGCATACTCTCACTTGAGAAATTTCGAATTTCTTTATGCTTCGGAATTCTCCGAACTTGCGGAATTTTTTATGTTCGCAGTTCAGTTTTTTCTTTATCGTTTGAAATTCGAATTTTTTGTTTTGAATTATTTGTTGTGGGGAAACATAGGAGACCTATCGAACTTGCAATCGAGAAATTTTATTATTTTTTTATTTTTTCTCGAAATTTTCGCAAAGTTCCAACTTTTCATTTTTGATTAGTGGCTCCTTATCGGGGCGATTCACTCGATTTCCCCACTCCCCACCTCTCCCTCCCAACTCCTTATCCTCTTCTTCTTGCTCAACTGCCCATCAGTTCTGGCCACAGCCTTGGTAAGTGCCTACTTTGGCAGGCCACGCCAGCCACTCGCGGCGCATGACCCTGCTCACTCGTTCACAGAAAGCAGGGATGGATCAGAAAGTCGGCGAGACCGACGAGGCCTCCGAGACACGTTTGGCGGCCATAATGGCCGAAAGCAAGCAACGGGCAGAAACAGCAGCAGTAGCATAGAAGAAGAGAGAGGCAGAGGCAGAGAGGCTGCGTCGGCTAGCCGAAGATCAACGACAGAAGCACGCAGCAGCAGCAGCAAAGGCCGCCGATGAAGAACGCGTACGACGGTGGGAGATTTTCTTCAAGGAGGAAACTGCATTACACGCACAGGCCAAGGATTGGCAGAAGGAGGCCGAGAATGGTCGTTGACTACGGGACAAGGATTGCTCTCTTGCTCAACCGTGTCACAGACCTCCTCGCTACTTGCATCGCACAACAGGAGGACATTCACTCTCTTGACCACGCTAATCAGGCGCTGACTAAGCGCATACAGCAACTGGAGCAGCGACTAGTCGCCACCTCCAGCGCCGGCCCCTCCGACCTCGTCGACCGCGTCAACGTCTTGAGATAGACGTGGGAACACTCAAGACGAGACACAGTGTCTGGACCAGCAGGTGGGGGCAGCAGCCACACCGAGCTCAGAGCCTCGTGAGAGCATCCCCAAATTTGAAGGGCTCCCGATCTTCTGTGATGCATCGAAGACGGAGCCTATGCCGTGGTGGCACCAATTCGAATTAAAGCTGGACATCCACCATGTCGTCCACACAAACCGGCATGCATACTTGTACTCCCGGTCAGGAGGTGCGAGCCAGGCATGGTTGGACAACATGTTGTCCGCACATGCATGTACAGTCTCCGAGTTACACAAGTTCATCACCTGGGCCGATCTCACGGCGGCATGGAAGAAGCGTTTCCAAGTGGAACCGCCCGAGCATCAGGCGATGGACAAGCTGCTGACATTCTCACAGAACAGCGTGCCAAGTGGAGGCTGGATATCTGAGTTCCAACGTCTGGCAAGCACGCCCAAGCTGCCGCTGAACTTCGACGGCATAAAGCTTTACTTCATCAAGACATCGTTCCCAACGTAGCAAAATGCGTTAACTCGGGTCGCTGAGAACCTCAACACAAGTGAGGAACTCTTCAACAATGCCGCCCAGATCATTGTGACGAACTTGGAAGCCAAGAACATTGGCCGTTCGCCGACAGCCGGCCAGGGCGCGTATCAGCATCGACCGAAAGTGGCCGTGGTCGCGGCAGCAACGCGAAGCGACCATTCAACTTCAAACGAGGCTGCCTCGTCTGACGAGGGAGACGGACTAGCAGCTGCCCAGAATGGTGGCCACCCCGCCAAAGGACGAGGACGAGGCAAAACGAAGACAAACACCACTTCTTCTGGGCCCGGACAAGCAGCTCCGGCTCAAGAACCTTGGACACAATACGGTCTGACGGAGCGCGGGTATCGCGTCTGCAGCAAATACCGTTATTGTTTGTGGTGCAACTGTGCGGCACATGAGACCGTGAACTGTCCCACGAAGGCCAAGGGCCCCGCTTAGTCGGGAAAGTGAGCACCGCCGAGAGTGATGCGACGACACTCTCGACGCCTTCGGAACCGGTTGCCGTACGGGTAACCTCCCTCGGTTCCGGGGCACATGCGGAAGTCGTAAGTCCTCCCATTCTTCTTTCTTTCGAGGACTATGCTGCCCGGCTCGTACCTTCGCTGAATTCACGAGCCCAAGGACAGGATGTATGTGCGGTTTCTTCTCCGATCGGAAGCAGCGGCATTGAGTCGTCTTCAAGTGGACCTTCACGGGATTCGGCGCGCGCGTTCAACGTAGAGGACTTGGACCCGTTGACGCCCGAGGATTTTGCATGGCTCCCTCTCCCATCCACCGGCTGCTTACCGGAGCCGCAATGCGCATCACTTAGCGCTCATCTACATACATACCTAGCCTTCTATGCACCACCAACTTCGCCAACGGAGGACGAAGTCGCGGCGGGGGACATTCTTGAGTACGTTAGCAAGGTGGCCCGCGAGTTTCGGACGCAGCGGTACGACGACAACAACGCACCGCTCATGTATGTCCGCATCCAAGTTGGGCAATCGTCCTGCAGCACTTTGCTGGATAGCGGCGCGACTAGCAACTTCATTAGCTAGTCCTTTATGCAAAGGGCCGGCCTTGGACCACAATTTCGAAGGAAGGCACACCCTACGGGGATCAAGTTGGCGGACGGTAGGATGCAACAACTCCTTGACCGCTACATCGAAGCCGTACCGGTCTATTTCGCACCTTGTGCATGCGAACCGGTGACATTTGACGTCTTGGACACGGACTTCGACATCATTTTGGGCATGCCTTGGCTTGCAAGTGCGGATCACACGGTCAACTTCCATCGGCGGACACTTACGGTCCGCGACGCGTTTGGCGCCGAAGTACCATGTACCATCCCTCTTCCGCACCCTTCGATCTGGTGCCAAGTTGTAACAACCAAATCTTTTCGGGCCACTTGCGCTTATGAGCGGACCGACGAGATAGGCCTATGTTTTCTTCGCAGCGTCGCGGCAGCCAAATCTCAAATCCACGGACTTGTCTTCAGACCCCCGTGTGGTACGGTTGCTTGACGAATTCACCGAAATCTTCGAGTCACCTGCCGGCGTGGTGCCGGATCGGCGATCTCCCACAAGGTCATTCTTGAGGCTGGTGTCGTGCCGCCAAAAGGTTGCATCTATCGCATGAGCGAGGAGGAACTTACAGTACTCCGCGCGCAGCTCGACGATTTGTTGGACAAAGGTTGGATCCGGCCTACTAGCTCACGCTATGGTGCGCCTGTTCTCTTCGTGCGGAAGAAGAACAAGGATCGACACCTATGCATCGATTACCGCAAGCTCAATGCACAAACCGTCAAGAACGCGGGACCTCTTCCTCATATTGACGACCTTCTGGAGCATTTGGGCGGCGCGAAAATTTTTTCCAAGTTGGATTTAAAGTCGGGGTATCATCAGATTTCGATACGCCCGCAAGGTCGCTATAAGACCGCGTTTAAGACACGGTACGGGCATTTTGAGTGGGTCGTTATGCCTTTCGGACTCACCAACGCCCCGACGACCTTTCAAGCGGCGATGACCAACGAGTTTCATGCAATGTTAGACCGATTCGTGCTGGTCTACTTAGACGACATCCTCGTCTATAGCCGAACCTTGGAGGAACACCTCGAGCACCTTCGACGAGTGCTGGAGACGCTCTGTCGCGCCAAGTACAAAGCCAACTGTATAAGTGCGAGTTCGTTCGTCAAGAGTTGGAATACTTGGGACATTTCGTCACTCCACAAGGCATCAGTCCATTGTTGGACAAGATTCAAGCCATCCAAGATTGGCTGGAGCCGCGTAACGTCACGGATGCCCGTTCGTTCCTTGGCCTTGCCGGCTACTACCAACGTTTCATCAAAGGATACTCGAAGATCGTGGCCCACTTATCCAAGCTTCAATGCGAGGACCGGCCATTTGACTTCGGGACGGATGCGTGGGGATCATTTTTGGCCCTTAAGGCCGCATTGCTATCAGCGGAAGTCTTGCGAATATACGACCCACTATTGCCAATGATCGTCACTACAGATGCGTCCGACTATGGCATTGGTGCCGTCCTCAAACAACATGATGGCGTGGACAGACACCCGGTCGAATACTTTAGCAAGAAAGTGTCGGTCGTGCATTCAATCGATGACGCACGCAAGAAGGAACTTCTCGCCTTCGTCCACGCACTCTAGCGGTGGCGGCACTTCCTCCTTGGTCGACGCCAATTCCGATGGGTAACGAACAACAATCCGTTGACCATTTACAAGACCCAAGACACCGTCAACAACACGATCGCCGTTGGATGGCGTTCATCGACCAGTTCGACTTCATTCCCGATCATATTCCGGGGAAGTCAAACCGTTTTGCGGATGCTCTTTCACGGCGTCCGGATCACTGCGCCGTCGTCTACTCGACCTTCGAGATAGAGGATGACTTGCGGGACAGTTTCATCCGCGGCTATCAAGCTGACCCCAAATTTCGCGAGAAGTACGCAAATTGTGCCTCTCCCAATCCGGCGCCTTCGCACTATCGGATCCAAGAGGGATACTTCCTCGTCCACTCGTGGGGGAAGGATCTACTTTGTGTGCCGCAAGATTCACACTTGCGCACGAGGCTTCTTGGCGAGTTCCACGACGCCCCTGCAACCGGACACTTTGGAGTCAATTGTACGATTGGCCGACTCTGCGAGCGCTTTTGGTGGCCCGGTCTTCTCGACGACGTCACGCGCTATTGTGAGTCATGCGAGGTTTGCCGATGTTGCAAATCCCGCAATCATCGTCTGTATGGCGAACTGCGACCATTACCGGTCCCCTTGCGCCAAAGGGAAGCGATTGCCATGGACATTACCGGGCCGTTCCCCAAGCACAAGACGGGTGTGGATGGGATTCTCACGGTGGTTGACCGACTCACCAAGTTTGCCATGTTTTTGCCTTGCCGCTATCACGCCAAGGCACCAGAGTTGGCCGAGGTTCTCTACGCCGGTTGGATTCGAACCAAGGGTTACCCCAAGGAAATCGTCTGCGACCGTGACACTTGGTTCATGTTCGACTTTTGGTTGGCGCTCATCAAACGATGGGGCTCATCCCTCGAGCCAAGTTCGGCTCGCCACCCCCAAACCGATGGCCAAATGGAGAGGGCACATCAGACCGCACAGGTCCTTCTTCGCACTCTCATCCGTCCCGACCAAAAGGATTGGGTCGAGCGGCTGCCGGATGTCGAGTTGGCATACAACTCGTCCATCCATCCGGCTATCGGGATGTCGCCCTTCGAGTTCGAGCATGGCTTGCCGGTCAATTCTCCGTTGGACACAATCATCCCACGGGCGGCCGAGAGCGACGACCATCTTCTCTTCATTCATCGGATGCAAGAGCTTATTGCCAAGGCACGCGACCAGATGTCAAAGACGCAGCAACGTATGCGCCAACAGCCCAACCGCCAGCGTCTTCCTTGTCCGTTCCGCGTCGGCGACCTCGTATGGGTTTCCGCTGCGGAATTCAGCCTCGAACAAGATATCTCTCGCAAGCTCCTTCCGAAATGGATGGGGCCCTGGCCGATCATGGCAGCCGCTGGGGACGCACCTGAAGGACCTTCATTTATCATTTAGGTGCCCGCCCACTTGCCCGTCAACCCAATCTTTCACTGTTCCAAGTTGGCTCTCTACACGCCAGCAGAACTTGACGACTTTCCAGGGCGACGATCACAAGACCCACCCTCGATGGACGGTTTTCAGGAGGTTGGCAACATCATATCCGAGCGACGTTACGGCAACAGGCCGACTGAATTCTTGATCCATTTTGCATATTGCACCCATAGAGCTGATTGATGGTTGACCCGTGCGGAACTTCAAGCAACAACTCCCAACGTCCTCGCACGCTACGAACGCAAGTTGCAAGGCAAGCCGGCATCTTCGGCTCCACGCCGCACCCGCGTCCAAGTTCTACATTCAGATCGTCATCTTCGCCCTCGACCCGGCTTGACTTCATAAGGAGGGGGGGGTGTTGCATGCTGCGCCTGCACGTGGGCCCCATTCGAGGGGCCCGACGGTTGCTGAGGGGCCCCCAGGCCGCGTACCATACAACATGCGTCAAGCTACGAAGTAGGGAGTAGCGGAGTAGGTAGTGGAGAGAGGCGGAGGCCTTGCGAGCGACAAACTTACCTGGCGCCATTGCTGGGACTCCGCGCGGTACCTGCACACGACGACGACCACAGTCAGTACGGTGACAACTACTTGCAGGTGAGATAGCAAGGAGGACGTCATCTTCTTCTTCTTCCTCCTCCATCTCTCTCTCTCCTTTCTCCTTCTTCCTCTTTCTTACCTTCTTCTTCATCTATGAGGGAGAGAGAGATCATCGGTAGGGAATACAGGCAGAGGTTACGTTGGGCACATTGCCCAGGATCTGATTCGACATTCTGGGACAGACATTGATTGGACANCATTGCCCAGGATCTGATTCGACATTCTGGGACAGACATTGATTGGACACTCGGCAAGGGACTATTTTTGGGACTTCGCTATTGCGATCTTGGTCGACTCCCTCGCCTCCTTCTCCTTCGTCTTGCCCCTTTCCCCCATCTCTCATCCGTGGTATCTCCCCATGTATGTGTAAGAAGGAGGGACCTTTCTTCCGTGATTGTGGTCGCTCCTCCCTTCTCACATGTGTGATGTATGATGGATGTCAGGTCAGTCCAGATCAGATCAGATCTTCTCTTTTAAGTCTTCCACTGCGCCACTTTGTGCCATCTTGTATGTATTCGGAATGTACATTGCTTGTTGATGCTACGCTGACCTTGCATTGTCCATTTCAGTCCTTTTCATCACATTGTGGATCCTTGGCTCCCTACGCATTGTCCCATTCGGCATGCGTCACTACGTGTGTGAGCCCAACTCCACTGCACGCCAAGTTCTGTTGTGCGCCAGATCGCGCGCTGCCCCGCTAGTACTTGTTGCGCGTCCGTTTCCCTCTCTCCCCGCTGCCTGCCGCACAACTGTCAGTTGTCAGATAGCGCGCCATTGCGCACGCGTGTGCATTAACAGCAGTTGCATTGAGGGGGAAGATGGCCTTGCCGCTGCGTGAAGAGATTGTCGCCGCGATCGAGGTAGAAGATTGCAGCGCCGTTGTTGAGGATCATCGCGCTAAGTAATGAGCATCCATAGCCGCTGTGCTACCTGAAAGAAGACTGTGGAAAAGAAGGGAGACTACGACGGACGAAGAGAGAGAGAGAGAGAGAGAGAGAGAGAGAGAGAGAGAGAGAGAGAGAGAGAGAGAGAGAGAGAGACAAGATTGGTTGTTGCAGCCGGTGAAGAAAGTGGCGGCGACACCGCCGAGCGCGGACCTTGTGACGAAGATGAAGATCGGGAGTGACTAAGATGAAGTTGAGGGAGAGAGAAAGTAAGGAGAAAGGGGAGACGAGCAAGGGAGAAGGAGCCATAGCCGGGGGTGAAGAAGAAGAGGGAAGGGGAGAGAAAGAGAAAAAGAAAGAAAGAGGTTGGTGAAGGAGAAGGATCGACAGCCATAGTCGGGTGATTGGAGAGTTGAACGGCGACGTTGACCAGGGAGTTGAACAAGTTTGACCAAGCCGTTGACCGGAGTTGACCGACGTTGACCAAGGCCGCTGAACGAGAGGTTGAGCAAGCTGGAGTTGGTATAATCTCGCCAAGCCTTCAGCCTCTCCCCTCGCCCTATGGATGTGCACTCACCCCGTGGTACTTGCTGAGTCTGTCTGTCTCTTCTTTCTGCATTGAGTCACTTCTATCTAGGTGATAGGAACTCCATGTATGAGGTCGTAGAGCTGCGTTGACCAAACCGACACGGGCTGAGTAGGGCTGCTGTCCATGTCTGACGATTGACACGTCCCGGAGGCCTAACCCTCCCGAGGACCGGTACAGACCGGCGGGCTGCTCAGTGTTGCATGGTTGGCCCAAAATCCGAGTTGTGGGCTGCACAACCAGCTGTCTAAGTATTGAGAGAGCTCTGCTGATCACGTCGTCCTGACTGCAACGTTAAAAAATTATTGAGGAGTTATGGGGGATGTCCTTAAATGCCTCCTGGTCAGCAGTAGAGCTTTGTAGTGACAGCCTTAGAGTAGGTCTGGGCTAGAGACCCTAGTTGACAGGGATCTGAACCGGAGTGAAAGCCAGGTGGGTTTGACCGCAGGTGCATGGCATTTGGGTCGTGGTTTGTAACGGACAGTGATAGCGAAAGCTTCCGTCGGCTGTGGTAACCTGGCTGGAACAAAGGGGAAGACTTTGTGGTCCTTAGGCACTCAGTCAATCAGTCTGTGGGTAAGTCTACGTGGTGAGGAGTGGAACAGTCACTTGTTGTGCACCATCCATTATGGACGACTACCCCATGTACTCCTTGCTCGTAGGGTTCTCCCTGTTGGGGACCTTTTGGGGAAACTTTTGTGGTCTCCTGTTTCCGTTAGGCTTCTGGCACACATTCTCGTGTAGAGTCTTGACGAGGGGTGGTACAAGGACCACTCCTTATACAAAGGAGCAGGAAGCGGAGGCTGCGAAGATTCCGGCAGAGCAGAAGGCCAGAAAAGAGGAGTTAAAGAAGAAGGCAAGGAAGGTGGCACTCTTGGCAGAGAAGGCCAAGAAAGAGAAAGAGTTGGAAGAAGAGGCTGCAGAAAGAAAAAGAAGTCGCAGCGTCAGTTGATGAAGAAGAAGAAGAAGAAGAGGAAGAAGTTGAGACGCCCCTGGAGCGAAATATGAGAACTGGGGAATGAGGGGAATCGAGACGCACGAAGGAAGAAGACAAGTGGTTGGAGAAGATGGTGACAGAGTGGGTCGCCAACTTGTCGCTGGGGGAAGAAGAATAAGCTATGTTATATGTTCCCCAGGAAGAGAGAGAGGCGGTGATAAAAGAGATACAGGCAGAGAGAGATCCCTTGCAGCGTCAGGTGTTGAAAGAGGAAAAGAAGATGGAGTGGAGGCTACGCCTCACCAGGGAAAGAAAGCGGCGGTTGGAGGGGGCGTCTGAGATAGAGAGAGTTGGCCGCGGCAGGGGAACAACATGGAAGATTGGCAGCGCAAATAGATCTCCAAAACAAAGTGGAGATCATAGGCAAAAATGTAGAAGTGATGCTGAGGGCACAACAAGAGCAGAGGTGCTACTTGAGGGGCCATGATATTGCCCTGCAGTCCATACGCATGGGATTTAGAGATTTTGCTCACGATATGATGATGCGTGTGGGCACAGAAGTGCAGGCGCGATCAGACAACACAGAGAACTTTGGGTACAGAGGCAAGCTGACCGTCAATATTCCATAATGGGCACGAACTGCGCAGGTGTTTTTAAAAGGGCCTTTACCCGATATAGGCCTCAGGCCTTGTAAAAATAAAGCAGCACGGGCCTTGAAAAAGTGAAGCATTGTGAAAAGGTATCTCGTCAGAGCTCAGAAACGTGAAA